AGCGCCACGCCGTCACGTCTCTGTGCTGCTTGTGGGTGATTTGATTTGGCCTTTGACTTCATGAGGCTTTGGAAACCCTTAGCTTTCCTTCATCTACCCATGGAGCTGTCTGTCTGTCAAGGAACAGGGCGTAGTTTGGGGTTTTTTTCTTGCTCTGTCATTTCTGATTTGTTTTAATGGCTAAAAGATGTTGTTGCTGCAGGCTCGGCCATGGGCTGTGACCGGGTGAGAACTACTGAGAAAAGCAGACCCATCCCCGCTCGGTCCCCGTGTGTTGCCTGATCTAGTTGAGAGACATCCCTGCCCATGACAGGGAGGTTGGATTAAATGATCTCTAAGGTCCCTTCCAGCCTTGGCCATTCTATGATCCTACCTGGAAAGGGCATCAGCCAGGCCCGTCAGTGGAGACTCAGGGCAGGAGCTGAGCCAGCAGCTCTTTAGCTGAGGCTCAGGCCAGTATGGGACCATTCTCCACACAGCTCCAGAGCCTGGCTTTTAAGTTCAAACTCAAGGTCCTACAAGCCTGGAGAAGTTATTTCCAAGAACAGGCAGCTAGTGCTGGGCTCCGTGTCCTCCCAGGGTTTGGTAATTACTTTCCATCTCAGTGCTGGAGGTGTTGCAGTTTCCCCTGGGCTCGTGCCGTGCCCGGGCCTTGTGGTGCGATGCCTGCTCTGCCAGCCCCGGCTCCCCGGGCATGGCTGGCCTTGGAGGAATTGGTGCCAGGCGAGAGCCGCTCTCCTCATGCACAGCAGAGCTTTTACAGGAGAGAATATGCTTTGCCTTTTCTGCAGAGGCTCATCTGGGACCTTTTAAGAAAGTCCATATTGAAAGCTTGATTCATTTTTCCAGGCTGTTGCACTTACCCAGCTCGTAACGTTAGATTTCTGGCTCTGCTCTTTCTGTGCTGACAGTGTGAGCTGCCGTTGCCTCGCGATGCAGCTGCTTGGCTTTCTATTTTGGGAATTGCTGAGTGAGGGGAGAGGCTCCTGATGCAAGGCTTTTAGGGGGACAGCCAGGACCCTAACCTGGCAGGGTGGATGGAGATGGGGCAAAGCTATTGCCTGTGCGCATCCTGTGCTGAGCAGCTGCCTCACATCCATTTAATTAGGCTCTGTGCCTAACGAAGGCTTTGTATTGGTCATAGGCAGCTAAGCTTCTGCAAGGGAGAATTTATTATAGCTTGGGTGAAGGCATTTAGAGCTTGCCTCTCTGCACCCTGGGGTACGGCATGCTGAAGCGCTGCCGGTGTTGCCGATGCGGAGGGAGCACCTGTGAGTCCTGTTCCCTCCCAGTTCCACCAGAGCAGCCGCCCTTCCCGCTGTGCCCGGGGTGAGCCCGCCTGCCTTCCTCCGAGAGCGCGGCGAAGGGCGGATTTCCCCCAGTCACAGAGCTGGTGGCATGTGATGGAGCCGCACGTACAGATTACTTGAATTTGCATAATTTGAATTTTAAATGAATTCCAATTTTTGCGATTGTCAGAACGAGTTTTCTTTCTAATAAGCTTCTCCTTTTAACTCCTCTAAGGCTTGTAGTGGTGGCAACATACCTGCCTTTGAGAGAGAGGAGCACTGGATTGCTTTTGCCATCTCTCTCACGCGGATCTCCTGCCTTGCCCCGGTGGTCCAGCGTGTTGCACCATGACGGGAGTGGTACCCGTGGGTGAGACTGTGCTCTCAGACCTTGGGTTGTTTTACATCACTTGGGGATGGACAAGGGACTGTTTTGGGGTTTGTGCCCTGCTGGCTCAGCACTGTCTCTGAGACGGGCAATGAGGAGCCGGGATGGGACCTTCTGGCGTGTCCCCTGCTTAGGAGGAGGAGGACCGTGGCGATGGCTGTGTTACAGGCTGTGGTGAAACTTCTTGTCTTCACACGAGCCCTGAGCAGTAAAGGCGCAATTAACCCTATTAAACTTGCTGTTAGACCTACGGAGCATTTAAAGGAGGTCACCCAGGACTGAGTCACAGTCTGTGACGCCTCTAGGACAGTCACTGCAGATTACAGCAGGGTGCTGAGTGAACTTCTTCCTTTTTCCTGTTGGGATTTTCAAGTCCTCTGTATTTAGGTGAGTCATTCTGATGCTGCTACTGAGATGTTATAAGGAAACCCGATAAGCTGATGGGGCAGATCCTGCCGCTCTCTGAAAAGGAAGAGCCCCGCAGTACCCAGGGTCCCGACGCGCTGGCCAGTGGGACGTTAACTTGGTTTTGCAGCAGGTCTCTATGCCTGCTCCTCCAAAGTGAAGTGCTGCTCTTTGTGCATCAGGGAAGAGCTAGCTGGTGCGTGCAGGTGAGAAGGAGGGGAGCAGTGGATGGCATTGCCAACACTTCTGCTTGCTTTAGTTCATGTGTGAGTAGGTGAGACTCAAGGTTGTGTTGCTTTCCTGGCTGTGCTCTCAGGCACTGATTTATTGTATTTTTTTAATTATTATTATTATTTTGTATGGTGTTTATTCCAGACAGTCATTCTGTTACGAAATGTCAGCGCCCTCCAGGAAAGATTTAGAGCTCTGTTTGTCTTGGGAGCTCTGCAGATGAGTTAAGCAGAGGTAATCCTTGTCTTACAAAATCTATAATGAAGGAGAAAAGGCTAACTGGAATGGTAGAACCTGGGCAAAGGAGTCCATGAGGGGATAAACTTGCTTTGTGGCACAAACCTTATCAAATCTAGTCCTCACTGAAGTTACTAAGAGTAAGGGCTGCAGGAGACAGGTGCTGTCTGACACGTGCCCATCCAGGTTTTCCTTTTCCCGTGGATAATGATCAGTTTGGAAACTCCTCCTGTTCCCGATGGACACTGCAGGGATGTTGGGAGCTGGAGCACACAGGTCTGTGCAGAAACCACCTTGGCCGAGAGCAGCACCAGCCCATGGGATGTGAATGTCCCAGTCTGAGTTGTTGGTGCCTGGAGCAGAACGGTTTCTGCTTAGCAGGACCTAACCTTGTGTTATCCCAACGGTTTGATCTTCTTCCTGAGCACGCAGGGACTTGCTGAGTCTGTTGGGCGCTGTCTGCCATCCCCGCTATGCAGCCAGTGCTGGAGGCTCTGGTGTGATGCTCTCGGTGACAGCCGAGTCAGACCGAGCCCTGCTATAATCCCAGCGATGCCAGTGAAATCACACCGGTGGTAACGCTCTCCTGCTTGCTTTATTTGATTTGTTTATATTTTGACACTGCTACAAAAGCATGCTGTCTCATACCTGATTTCAGAAATGCTAGCAAACAGCCAGTTGATACTTGTTCTTGCCCTGTAGTTCAGTGTAACAACAACAAAAAAAAAAAGGAGAAAGAGACTGATGCCGTACCAGAAGCAGGTCACCTGTGTTTCGTGAAGAGGCGGAACAGAGTGATGAGAGTCATACTGGATCGTACGCACACACTGCCCTCAGGTTTGCAAAGCAGTGACTGCCTTAAGGAGGTAAATGCAAAGAGGCTGCATCATCCAGCATCATCACAGCCCACAGTGCATCATCTGACTGAGCCCGACCCCGCCGGGGCCATTGCTCACTTGCTGACTATTGTTCATTGATGAGTAGTTAAAAAAACCGCAACGAACCTGATAAATAATGTGGCTCTGGAGCTGGATAACAGCTTCTTTGCTGGAGAGCAGGCAGCAGAGCAGTCCCGGGGAGCAGGCACCGAGTGGGAGAGGCCGCCTGTGAATCACTCTGCTTTGCGAGTCAGCACGGG